AATTAAAATTTATATAAATTTAGTGTATAAAAATTATATTTAAATGTATCATTTATATATATTTACTAAGTCAGAAGGGGTACCTTTGACGCTTCCATCACCGTAGATTGGAATTTGATCGTGCGGTGGAAGAGCCAGTGACGGGTGATTGTTGTCATGGTAGGGCCAAGAGGCAACGGAGTTACAGCAAATGTAGGTGTAAGGTAAGCCCAGTTGTTCAATGGAACGTCTGATCAGTCGCTTTTCCTTGTACATGTTTAGTCCTGGCTGCACCGGATTGGACCTGTCCACATCGTGTCCAAATTCTGATGGCAGGAACCTCTGCAATGTATGGCTAGAAATGTTACCATCAACTTACGTCAAAAATTACAGAACACCTCTTTGTACCGGCCGTCCATGTCGTGCCAGAGGACCCCTCTTCTATTAATAATTAATTTTGAGTAATTTAGTGCTTAATTGTATAAAATATTTTTAATAAAATTATATCTTAAAAAAAAGAAAAAAGAAAAAAAAAGAAGAACAGTTGGGTCAGCTGTAATTTAATTTTCAAGCTTATTATGATCTTGGACTCTTCTGCTCTAAAATCTAAGGACTCGAAAATGTTTTTATGTTAAGAACAAAAAAATTTTTAATTTATGTTTTTAAAATATAGATTAAAAGTATTTTTTTTATTATAAATATGTATATAAAAATATAAAAATTGATATTAATTTTAAAAATATTATTATTTAAATAAATTTAATTAAAAAATAATAAATTAAATATTAATATTTATTTTTTAAAATTGGTTAAATGCTTAATTTGGTCCCTTAACTTTAAGAAATGAACATTTTTGATCCCTTAACAATTTTTTGCACTTTTTTGATCCCTCAACTTCACGAAATGCACTCCGTTAGTCCTTCTGTTAATTTGAGCCGTTAACTCGCTTACGTGGCATTTTTTATAATTTTTTGCTGACGTAGCAAAAATAAATTAAAAACGTGTCCACTTAAAAAATTTTTAATAATTTTTTTGCTGACATGGCAAAAATAAATTAAAAACGTGTCCACTTAAATTTTTTTTATTTAATT